TTATTATTACAATAAATGGCTTTTTTCAAATGCCAATTTCCATAGGTACTCGTACTTTGTTGTCATCATTACTTAATGTGTAGAACACGTGCCATGTAAACAAAGGAATTGGAGTAACACTGTATTGGTTACCTTCGTTTGTTCCTTTGACAAGCAGTGTCGAAATAGTTTGCTCCCTTGATAGTATCAAAGTTGTTGCAAAACACCGCGACACCTTTAGCAGATGACGATGATCATTGCGTTCATGATAAAAATAACAGTTCTTTTACTCTCAGATTTCAACAAACGCTATACGCACTTTTACAGTCATTTTTTTAAAGCATGCACCACATCCGCATCAACGCACAGTTTTAAGTTTAAGAGTCTCAACATTTGTACAACTGGCTTGATTCGGTAAAAAAATGTTGAGTTGGTTTTTGATTTGTTATCTTTTTGAACAATCTGAAATGTTTTGCTTACGGCACGAGGGGATTGAGGTCATGTTAAACGATCTAAATCGAAAGGCATAACAAAACATTAAGGGATTACAAAACTAACTTAGGAGAAAAGAGAATCGTGTGCAAACATTAAAATAATTGTGTGACAACAGCGATCCAAATGACTGATCGAGAAGTGTGAAGTCTTGCCTATACTTGTGCTCTGGTTAGAGTCCTATTTATGGCGTTGCTGTACGTAAAAAGCAATAGGATCGTGTGTTGCTTTGCCCTACATGCCATTTAGCTGAATATGTGCAAATTAGTGTATTTCCAAATTTGGTGATAATAATTCCATTTCACACTTCCTGGCTGTCTCGTCCCAACCCACTTTACAACCACCCCCTTGACCCTCCACGCATTTCAAAACCTCTAAACACCCACCCCTCCCCACACACATTCACAACCGTTAGAGCGTTATTAAGGATTTTCTGTTGTGAATTTTTGTCTATTTCTGAGAGTGTAAGTGTAACTCCATATTGTTTAGTTTTGAGAGAGTTTAGAGGGCGCCGCTAGTGTGTTCTGTTCTGCTTTGTCCATCCGGTTTTTCTGTTTTCTTGACTTGCTGTTTTGCCAGCACTAAATGAATCGTTTGGAATGTTAACGGCTAGACACCTCATCTGGCATGCACAGGGCATGAAATCATTTATCAGCGGTTGAAGTGTTTGTTAGTGAGCATTTCCACCTTTCTATTGTAAGGATTCTGTATCCAACTTGTGCTGCCTTCTAATTGATCTACATTTTGTGTTAAGCTTGCTACGTTTGCAATCCTTTGGCTTTTAAGTTGGAATGCTCCTGCTTTACTCAAATGTGGGGATATTTTGGAGGGCGCCTTTGTTAGGATCTTTTTTTTTCTCTGATTTTTCAGTCTGTTTTGCTTTTTCCCTGCAACTAAATGACCGTTACTGTGTCGATGCGATTTTTTTTATATAGAAAGTTAAAATAAATCCAATCCTGTTTTTCTCTTTTCTTTTCACTTCCAGAAATGTGACGATCCTGTAGTCTCGGACAAGTCTCGGTTCCCAACCCTAGCCCGCACACAGCCGCCAGCCTCCCACTCCGTGTCGTCGATCATTGCTCTCATGAAGTACTACAACTGGACCAAGTTTTCTATCATTGTGGAAAAGGTAAAGCTCACAGTGACTTTACATAAAATCCTAAACAGTGTCATGTAATAATTAGCAAACTGTCTTGTAAAACTTCAGATAACAGAGTGAGAATTTCACTGATATTGTGTTTTACTCACAATATTAAACCACAACATTTAAAACAGTTGCGTGAGAAACCTCGTCCAAAGTTACGTTTTCTAAAATGTTTGTTTCTTGTTGTTGTTTTTAGATATGAAGAGTTTTTTTAATGGTTTTTTTTGGTCATTTGAAGCACATATTTCTCCCCATTTTACATCTTCCAGCTCATGTAACTTCTCACAGTGGATGGTTCGCAGGTGCTCCGTTGTGGTTTTGCTCCTTCTTTCCCGTCAAACATCAGTCGTCCTTATCTCTCTTTCTATATTTCTTGTTATGTTATTCTGTAGTAACCCTCTGTTTTTCTGTACTGTTATGATGTATTTGTGTTGCAAGTGCCGGAAAACTCTTACTAACTTATCACCAGTATCCGTCTTTCTGATAATCCACACATTACCCGTTCCAGGTTGATCTGATGACCAGGGCAGGCTTGAGTTTACAAACACTTGCAGCGGAGAGCAACATCAGCATCAATCACTTTGTGAACATAAGCGGACCTTACGCCACCAGGAAACACATTAAAGAGCTGGAGGGAGCCATACAGAACACTTACCAGAAAACCAGAAGTGAGTGTGGGAGAAAGACAAAATGTGACGTTCATTTCACTTAAGATATGGGATGTAAAGTCACCCCCCCCCCCCCCCTTTTTTTAAATTCCTCCATCCGCATCACCAACGTTTCTGGGACACATTTTACATCATAAGCAAAAATGGATAGCTTCAACGTCGCCTCTAACGTTGTTTTTTGTTGCTGCTGTCATTGTTGCAAGTGTTGTTACTGATTGTGTTGTTTGTTGTTGTTGCTGTAGTTGGTGCAGTTGTGGTTGTTGTTGTTGTTGTTGTATATGGGGTCAAGAAAAGTGTATGATTTTTTTTATTGATTTATTTTATGTGTTTTTAATTATTCTATTTTGACGTAGATATAAAGTAGAATCCGCTCAAACCAACCTTGATTAATTCGAAATCAGCCGTAAATCCAAACAATATAATCCCTACTATTTAGCCTATCTAAACCGAAAACCCCGAAGTGAAAGCTTAGAAAACCCCACAGTCCCGCAGATTTTGGCTTAAGTGAACTCCATTGTCGAAGAGTCTATCTATCTATCTATCTATCTATCTATCTATCTATCTATCTATCTATCTATCTATCTATCTA